ATTGTACAGGTAAGTTAATCGCCGTTCTAATCTAATGCGCTGCTGCACTGTAACGCACACACATTACAGACAGTAGCGCGTACATCACGCGCACAGAATCATTCAGCGCGGAAATGTATTGTCAGCACTGTTCTGTGATTTCTCAATAAAATAGCTTAGAAACTGAAAAGTTCAAGCATATATTTCTTAACTAAATCCCACAGCTTCACTACTAGTAGAGAGACGCTACCAGGTAGAATTAATTCACACACTAAATCGCTCTCACTAATGCATTCATATGAATGTAATCTTTACTGTGTTCGCTTTCACAACGAAGCACACAGCATCTTTACGACATGGCGGCGTAAACAACAAAACTACAGCGAGAATAAAAGTTACGCCTTCTTTCTTTGCCTGAACATTTGGGCGGCGTTATGCAAATCTTCCCACATAGCGACGTAGATATGTGGGGGCGTGTTAGAACGAGCCGTTTTAGGTAGGCGTGGCTGACTCTTAACTTTTATAAAGAATATCTCTTTGGATTTGAGACTTTAGTCTTTGCAAGTTTACAGATCTTCTTTTTGCACCAAGAGCTTGTAACACTCCAAAGAGAAAGGAAAAATTGAAATCGCATCATATGACCCCTTTAAAATACTTTTTTTGTAATCATAAAGAAACCATTTTTGTAATTGTTAAATTTGACACCCATCACAATCTTCTTCCACCTTAGAAAGTGTAAACTCACAACAACTGGCCCCTGGCAGGAAGTCCCGCCTATATCTTTGAGTGACATCACAATCCTGCCTTGTGGACCGAAGAGCACAGTGGAACAGGTGTCATTGTGGGCCATCAGCAACAAAGGAGACGTCTTGTGCCGTCTGGGTGTCTCTTCACTTACCCCTGGAGTAAGAGACAAGTTCCTTATTTTCTAGAAGTTGGCTAATATGTTTAGCATTCAGTAGTTCCCATGCAAATAGTGTACAGATACTTCACAAACTCCAGCACTATCACTGTGAGAGTCTTCTCCGAATTATGTAACCCTGACTGATGACATGGCTTGCTCACAGGGGTCATCATGGTTACATGTTGGAACTGACCAGGCTTTCAAGTCGATTTCCATAGGTGCCGTCCACCAGGTTTGGGCCATTGCTAAAGATGGCTCTGCATTCTACAGGGGCTCTGTGTCTGCCCAGAACCCGGCAGGTGAGGGAATAGCCTTCTATCACAAAGCCTGTACATGTATCACCCCATGAGAATACAACAATACATACTTGTCTCTTACGTTGCATTTTAATGCAAGTCATGCTGCTATTGCAGCATTGCCTCTATTTCTGCAGCAGCATTAGAAAGGTTTGATCTGTTCACAGGAGATTGCTGGTATCACATCCCTTCTCCAACTGGACAGAAGCTCAAACAGGTGTCAGTGGGCAGGACATCTGTATATACAGTGGATGAAAATGGTACACCTAGACATGTCACACTGATAAAAAGTTGTTAATACATCAGTGGCCACTGGTACTTTTCAAAAATGGGGAAGCACAGATGTTACTAATCAATGGAAAAATGTGTAATCTGATCTGTTTGTATATCTTGGTGTGTGC